ATCTTCGCCAATGATACAAGTTTGTTACGCCTATATGACTTTAGGCCTTTCCATCACTTGAACCATGCAATTTAAGAACCTCATTTAAATTAAATTGGCCTAAGTGAAGAGAGGTAGACGAGAGTCATGAATTATTTTGTTTGATAAATCTAGTATCGTTCAACTTATATACATTTGGCCTCTGAGAATAGTTATATCTTATGATTAAGACTCAACTAAGTTAGCAACAACAGATTATGATTAGTAGACTGCGAATGCATCAAGCATGCTATTTTCAGAGGCATCTTGACAGTGAGAAATGAATCAATTACTGAAAACATGAGCCTGTTGATTTCGATCGCCAGCTGATCAAAGTTGAGCACATGAGACGGATTTAAGAGTTCTGAAAGAAAAAAGACCAACGAATTTCCCAAGCCTTCTAACTTTGTTTTAGAGACCTTCAAACTTATTTTAATTCTAAATTCCTATTGTTCAATATCTTGATTTAGGAATTTAAAGCAACTCTTCTGATGTGAATGAACTACCACTTATATTTTTTTAGTATACTTTACAAAAACACGTCAATTTTCAATCAAATGTTGAAATCAAGTTTTTTATTATTATAGCAAATTACATTTCAGTCAAAACAAGACTTTCCAACATTTCATCTTGGCAACATCTGAAACCCATCTTGGAAATCATAATTTAAGTACAGGTAGTTCGGAATTTTCCAAAAGTAGGTCAGCTAGTCAAATACCTTACGCCTTCTTTTCGTGTTCGAACCCTTCTGCCTTCATACACGGATGACAGTGAGAATAAGTGACATGAATCCGCAAGATCTCATCTTCGATTCTGTCTGAGGACGCATGGGATCTCTCCGTTCAGCCATGGCATTGTTGTCCACTCCACAACCTCAAGCACATTGAATTGGGAAAGGGAGTAAAATTTGGATGCGAAAGTAGGAGGCGTGCACCGAATAACAAAGGAAAATGGGCAGATTACCTTTTACTCAGCTTAGACGTTATAGAGAGAGAAAAAGTAAAGGAACTTTGTGGACTGATGTCAGTGTTTGACAGGTGACCTTACCAAAATAGAAAATCTATCATTTCAGAGAAGACTACTCAACTACATCTATTTGTCATTTGGTTCATCTAATCAAACGAAAACATAAAAAATATTTCTAGCGTTATTAAGGTGTTTATAACTCTAATAAGTGTGAGAAATAAACTGGATTACTCTTCTGGACCAAATGCCCATCTTTAATGAAAAGTGGGGATTTGTGGTATATGTAGCATCGCTGTCAGTCTCACCGAAATGTTCCTTGTTGTAAGTGCATAAACGGCATCAATGGCAGTGATGGAAACTGGTTAGGATTAAGCAATCTAAAGGCAATCTGGAAGTCAAATGGCGAAGAGTTGGTACTCTGTGTTCCCCAAAACGAAAAAGGCTCACACCTTTTGAAATAAAAATGAAGTTTCGGGATGCCTTGACTTCATTACCTGTTGTGCCTTATCTCCTTTCACCCTTTCCACTTTAATTAACTCACTTGGTATTTCTCTTACCAGGCACAAGTCAGGGGTAGAAAGTGATGAAAAGTTTTCATAGCTGTGCTATGGAAAGAAAAGGTTATATTTTTCACTAAAACTTACTATTCCGCTCTCATCTAGAAGACGTGAATAGTAAAAATTGAATGGGCAATGCACAATTACCTCTCTCCTCTCCACCCCTCCTTCTCTCTTTCTCTCCTCAGTTTCAGATAGGAAAGCATCGAAGCTCTTTCATTCATGAGGTACATTTAAATGGTCTACTTCACTCGAACACTGGCTACTGCTTCTGAATGAACGGCCTTTTCGATGTTAAAGAGGCAAAATTGGAAAGCACGCAATGTACTGTATCCGTATAATAAATAAGCAGAACATTGTCTTGAACAGTAAACGACGCCATGGAGAAGTTTTCCTTGAGTGACTAGTCTAATCTTCCACAAGCATATCGTGGGCAGTTACAATGAACATCCAACAAATCAGTCGAGTCGTGGGTGCGCGTGCAAGTATTTAGCAGCTTCGAAGTACTTAGAACACCACGTTTAGAAACCTGTTTCTTATTTATAGATGAGGTTGTGGGTCCGTGAGATCTGATTGGTTTATCAAAACTTATAAATATGCTGCTCAAATAGCAGAACATAAAGATTTGCACTTACACGCCTAGTACGCGTGCGCATGGATTCCTCATCTTTGTTTCCACACACAAAGCAAGATAATGACACGGAAGACCTTAATCCAGTTCCAGAGAGAAGGAGATGGTTCATGCTCGCTATTTTCTCAGTAATAACATCCCTCAATGCTTACCAATGGATGCATATTGGCATTGTTATGCCCAGCACAATTTACTTCTGGAATGGATCTCTACCAAGTGGGCTTTTAATACTGTTTTTATGCATTTACATTTAACTGGTTAAAATATAAATGATTTGAATTATAGTTAATTATGGTAGTTCGAAATGATTTGGCGGTTAATAGATTTTTTGCGTGTGAGTGTACGCTTCCCAAGGTGCATCACGTGATGATAAGTCTATCTCGCACCCAGAAGTCAACTAAATGTTTAATGAAGATTATCATAAAGCCTCCCATTTGATATAAATAAATATTCAATTATTGCTTAGTGTAATTTCAGCTTTATATTTGGGCGACCTTGGCTTTAAACTGAGGGGTACAACAGTTCTTTCTTAATTGTAGGCTCCAAACAGGGACAAGAAGATGCAATTTCTTGGCTTTCCATGATCTATATGCTAATGTACATTCCTATGGTGGTGCCTGGTACATGGGTACTCAATCGATATGGTCTGCGAGTGGCTCTAATAACTGGAGCAGGACTCAATGCCCTTGGAGCTTGTATAAAGTGTGTTTCCATGGAGCTGTCGCAGCCCCATGGTGTTGAAACAGTTGGAGCACTATCTTCTTTTCCCATTCTGATGTTGGGACAGTGTATCTGTGCGTTGGCCCAAGTATTCACTCTGGGAATGCCTGCTCAACTGGCTGCCACGTGGTTCGGTGAGTCGGAAGTTGCACTGGCCACTTCCATTGGGGTGTTTTCTAATCAGGTATGTGATTCTGTGGGCCGAATATACTTTTTAGATTTTGTAAACACATCTCTGAAGCCGGTGTCATGATTATCCTTATCTCCATTGGATGTTAGTAGGCAATGTGAAGTCAAGCTGATAGAGTTGACCACTTAAATTACAATCGGAGATGAAAATGTCATTGCGCCTACCTTTTGGTGACTTATTTTGTTAAGGCCATTCGAAAAGTTCCCGATGACATGATGCCTTTCTTACCCCNCTTTCATATAAATATATACACCTGATTCAAGTCCACTCTTAGTCCTCTCATTTAATTGGGGCCTTCGGAGTGACCATTTGCTTTGATTGGGAATATATCTTAGTTTTAATTGGTTTGGCGAGCAATAATCCTCCTTTAAACCGGTAATAGACGAAGAGACGAGGCAGACGCAGAAATGAGGATGAGGCATCAAGCAAGTCCTGCTCTAAATGATTTCTCTGTTCACTTTTCGTTGAATGCATATTAAAGACTACAAAATGTCTGATTTGCTGATTGAGATAGCCTCATCCTTTATGAAACATTTTGCTTTCATTTTGATAAATGTATCAATATTAATCAATTGATTATCTCTTTTTTGCGGCAATTATCTACCTCCACCAGGCCCATAGAGAGTACTATATGTGAAAACGGGAAGTCATTGCGATATACCTGTTCCATGTTGGCATTTAACCACCTTTCTCAAGACCGTTAACTGGAAGTGTAAAATTCAAATATTTAGCCCAATTGCGTACATCGAGAGGATAATTTGTTAGGAAATTTCATCTTAATCTCATAGAAATAGTAACACTCATACTGACCCTTTGACCCAAATTCTGCATATTTTGGCAGCTAGGTTAGAAGACAATGAAACTGACAATTAGGCTGTTCGACAATTTTTATGAACAGTCTCTGATATTTCTTATTACTTGTGCTAGTGCACATTTAACAAACGATGTCTTAATTGTTAGGTGGCAAATGAAATGAGATATCTTGCTCGTCACAGTTCTCATCTATTTATTCATTCATTCGTGTGTGAGGATTCAATTAAATCGATAGCCTGAAGAAGAGTTCATTTGAATAACTTGGTCAACCCCCATACCCCCCCCCCTTCAACTTTGCCTTTTAAGCTCACCCAGTTACTCAATTTTATTTACTTAGATGTGAACTGTTTGCAAGTATCCCTAAATTAATGTCAATTCATTGGTTCCTGAGTTTAAGCGAAGTGTATACCTGACGTCATTATTACATTTCAATCCAATCCAAATTGATTGCTTATATGAGTATTTTACTACTTCGTGTGTTCCGATATTATTCAATAAATAGAACTTGTAAAAATTTTTCCTTACTACTCTTGCAACCATTTTGGTATCTTGAAATTAATCAGTGCAATAGAACTCGTATTGACATGAGCTAATATCATCATCCGATCTTAGCAATCATGCACAGGCCCCATGATCATATAAATGGTATAATCTTAATTTTAAAAGGATTAATAGTGTTTTCTTTGCTCGAACTTTCTAAATGGTACCTGTTGGAGGGTTATTTATAGTTAATAGCTCTCCAGTTTACTTTTTCCATATCCTCCGTGTTCCCATCTTAGCTTAAATGGGAAAAGTCGATGACGCACTCCATATAGAAAGTGAATCATGGCCAAACTTTGTCTTGCTGCATATTGTCATTGTCATCATTAAGCATCCGTCATTTCAATCGAATTCCAGTTACTTTGTCATCTTCCCCTCATAGTTAAACTACTCCGTGACAATATTCGGTTTTCTCACTTCCTTTCCATTGATTTTCGCAATTATTCCAAAACCTTTCCCCATAATCAGCCGTTAGCCTAACACACATAAATGGGAAAAATTACTTTTCTTTTCAAAAAGCGTAAATCCCCACACCTCTCCTAACCGAGAAGAAAAGTTACGTATGAATTCTGTAATTTTATGGAAATGCCAACAGTTTGAAAAGCCGACGGGACTGATCTCCGTCAATTGAATCAACGAATAACAAATTGCAGTGTCTGATTTTCGATTGCTTTAGGTCTAGTAAAGATGCTGGTGGTTAGAATGTCTCATATCATAATATCACCCAGAGTAGGAATAACATTTCCAATTCGACGCTAATTGAATCCTCTTTACCATAGCAGAACTAGCTTGAATGGCCCAATTTTATTCGAGATAATTAAAACTGATAATATTTTTCTGTCAAGATAGGCGAATGCCTCTGTGGCGAATACAATGGTAAAGCTATTGAAGTAAATCAATTCATATAGTTTTATTTATTTTACTCAGTTTTCAAAGAGAGACCAAAAACACCACCAAGCCGAGCTCAACTTAAAAGAGTTCCTCAATTTGAAATGGTTGACACCGGTGATGCAAAACTTAGTTCATATTCAAACTCAGGTTAGTCAAAACTCGATCAAATGTATTTCCCTATGTGAAAGTGATTATTATTCAATCATGTAGATAAAAGGTGATATTTTGTCTTTAGATATCGACAATCCTGATGTGACTACAGAGGTAGCAGTAATGAAACGAAATTTCTTCCATCAAGTGTTCTGCTGCTTTAAGAACCTCAGTTTTGTTCTCCTTATGATTTGTTACGGTTAGTCATTATCTTTCGTCTATTAAATTTATATTGAAGTTTTAAACAAATTTGATTGGTCAAATTTTGTGTTATAGATAGGTGATGGAAGAGGACATACTTTAATAAAATATTTTGATGGTTGGATAGAAAGTTCATAATTTCATTCGAACTACGCTTTTCTGGTCCCTTTCAGTGCACGAAACCTTCTTCGAGTTGGTTCTAGAGGTGTTGTTTTGAAGATTAATTTATGCATTTGAATCGATGATTGTGATGTGGTTTTTCAAAAAGATGAGAGATTAATTTTTAATGCGAAGCAAAGTCATGTCAAAGGAAAGAAGATGATCAATCGATAACAAGAGGAAAGTGGGAGTACCCGTTTGTTCAAAGCTATTAAAAGAAAGACGTAAGCTAGGTTATGAGGGTCTGACAACTCTATCTCACTTCTAACCTATTTATAGATCATGAAGCCCACGATGGGTTGGAGAGAATGTAAAGATTTCCTTAAAGTACCAGAAGGTGCTAGAAGGCGAATGGATTGCCAGGTGCTTGTATTTGGTGTTTATGTGATAAGTGGAGACAGATATAAGAGCCGAAAATGGCATAGTTTACTGATTATTGAATGGTTGTCATTTGGAGTTTCCGGATTAGGGTGTTCAAAACTGAGCAGGTCGTGTCAACTACAAACTAGACCCTTTGAATAAACCCAGGACATTACGACGTTAAGGATTCCCACTGGAATCGATATGATGTGAGAAAAGTTTACTCTTATTTAACTAATGTAATATAATTGAACTTATATTGACTTTGTTCATAAACTTAAACATTGTACTAAATGAACCCGTTTGTCCAGAAACATTCGTGAGATTGGAAACGGGACTGTTGTAGAAATTGCTACTAATTTTGCTACAACTTCTTTAATTTTTTGTTCATTAAAGGTGTGAACACTGGTGTTTACTACGAAATTGGAACACTTTTAAGCCCAATGGTTACAAATTTCTTCCCCGTAAGTGAATTGCTTAGCATATAATTGATTAGAACAAACGCTACTTACACTATTAAATGATTATATTCAATAAATCGAAAAATAATGTCATGGATATTAACAATTAATCAAGGTAATCAGATGATCTTCCTCTCAAGTTCATAATATATAAACAAGTAAAGGCCTTATACCTGCAATAATTTAGTTAATTGTTTTAATATTACATTAAATATTCTCAATGGTTTTAAATTCAATTGTAGGATGAGCATATAACCATTGGTTGGATTGGTTTCACAATGATAATCGCTGGGCTATTTGGATCAATAGTAGCTGGAATTATATTAAGGAATACGGGTCAGTACAGGTTAGTCAATACTGGAAAATGAAAATAGAATATTGATTTACTTAATCCTTTAGCTATTGGCAGTTAGAAAATCTGGTTTGTCAATTGCATATCAGTGCTGCCTATTTGATCACTTTGGTAGACTTGGCCACCCACCACTTTTCAAGTTATTGTGACATATTCTTTTTTTCCCTTCTAGACGAGTATTCGTGGCATTTTATTTTTTGAGTGTGATCAGTTGGTGCACATTTATGGGAAGCCTCTACAGTCCACACATCTCAGCCCTCTTCTTCACTGTGAGTCTGCTTGGGTAAGAGAAGAGGGAATAGAATTTAGTCCAATTTCCCTTGTCCCGAAGAGGAAGGTTAATACAAGTTCACATTCGTTTCATCCAGGTTTTTCCAATCCGGTTTCCTTCCACTTGGATTTGAGTTTGCTGCTGAGATTACTTATCCCATTGATGAGGCTATTACGTCAGGTTTACTAAATACCTCCGCGCAGGTAAATGACTGTGTAAAAATATGCAAAAAATAATTGATTGGACTGGTACTGCTGAGTGTTCACCAGTTTGTTAGTTGCTCATTAATATCTGGCAAACAGATGATCCAATCATATTGACTGAACACAACAAGTTTCTTATTTAGGAGTTCCGGACACGTTAATGCTTTGTTTGTAATGAATGGTTGCATATTCTGTAAGCCTTCTAATCATCGGTTAATAATTGAGAATAATTTGAACAAAGTTGGGGAAAAGACTGGAAGATAGTAGACAACGTACTTAGTCAAAATCGACAGAAGATTGACAAAGGAAAAGAAGTTGGGGTGAATGAAAATTTAGAAAGAGAAATCTAAAAGATTGGAGACACGCAGAATATCCATCGTCATTCAGAAGTACTTGCCTCGCTTATGGACTGAAGCTACATTCATGCAACTTAGTCTGTTCCGAGGTCATTTAATTCGGAGAAAGAAAGTCCACGAATATCGTTACTGAGCCATAATCTGAAGTCTTACGGAGAAACAAAACAATATTTGATAGACAAATAATTAACCCTCAGGTTTCTCCATCGAGGTACATATATTGTTCTTCCTTTTGATAGGTATTCGGTATCGCGCTTACCTATTCGTCAATTGCGTTGCTGCATTCTTTCGGGCCATTGGTGACTAACATCTTCGCTTTGGTTTGTCTTCTTGTCACTGCACTTCCCGCATGTGAGTCTTAGATAAAATTGCCTTTTCTTATTTAAATAAAGATGGAAAATTAATGCAGTGATGCAGTCACTCCATGAGCATGAATATAACTCCAATTAAGTTGAATTGATACTTGTACTTTGAAGAAGATGTGTCAGAGGAGATTTCTGGATTCATCTTTAGTTTTATAAATCTAATTAATGATTTATTAGGGTAATAGTGAGATAATATTAATAGTGGTATGTAAATAACAATGTACTAAATCTGATTGGTAAACCGTTTTGTTTTCTGGCAGTATATTTGGTTGATGCTCATATTTCAAGGATATTAGAAATATGGTTAGAAAAGTGAATTTATCTGTTTTACCTCTATTCTGGACACTCTTTAAGCCAGAATACTCAAAAGCTGTTCTACCTTTTAAACAAGCAGAATTTAAGACCACAAATAGGCAAAACAGTTTGGCTACGAATTGACAAGTTAATCTTTTAAGAGTGATTGTAACTTCCTGATAAACTTTTTAGGGTTCGTCAAAGCTGATCTTAAACGAAAACGTGCTCAACAACAGTATGTTTACAATTTACCAATACGTATTTATGATATATTCTTATAAGTTTAGAAAAGGTAATATATCATATCAATTATATGATGATCTCATTTTAGGTGACATTGGCGTTGGCAAAGGAGACACAGCAGAGAGAACAGAGTGGGTGCCGTGTTATAGAACAGTATAAAATAATTAAATAATTTTACGATACACGATTGAATACTTTTGGTCACTATGGCTTTAAAGTCAGTCTTATTGTTATTTTACTTAATCAATAAAGAATTATTGTATTATGCTCGTTGTTATTGATTTGTGCACAGTTTTAAATCCTAAACCAACTTACAAACTATTATCGATATAGGATTAAATGGTATGGACTAAATCGTAGTGACAAAAATGATTGCTCCACCTCACCGTGTGAGGGTGAGAATTCGCTCGATTTCCAATTAAAAGCTCGAATCGTAATTATAAAGCTATGTAATCGGGTGGAATTTATAGCCCTCTCAACCCATTTCATTAGGAAGGAGTTAGAATCTTTAACTATAGTTTTAGGTCTCCGTAGAAAGTCTCAAGCCCACTAAGGAAGGATATTATAATTTATCATGATTGAGTTATTTTCTTCCTTAGCTGTACACAATTTCTGGATTTCTTTCTATTCATCCCTTAAATCAATATTTCAGCATTCTATTTTGACCCTCATCTTGTGGTGATTGAATGTACAAAGCTACAGACCCTTCTCCCAAATCATCCTCTAATCTCTCCTCTGATCTGGCTTTAAACTGTGTTGTTTATTAGCCATTACAAAATACTTCGCATATGGCGAGGTGAAGGGATTGAATTAAAGGTGAAATGATTCCGGCCTCATATCCTAATCAAATTTTAATTGGGCATAAATATGCTCTATGAGCGAAGAGCACTGTGTCGTTTCTAATAATGCAAAGTTGTAGAATTTCGCTATTTGTCACCTGTTTTAACGAGACCTTATGTCACGACATTCACATGCACGATAGTGTTTCGGGTTGAAATCTTCAAAATATTCCCTTAATAACTTACAAAGGATTTTCAGTATACGTTTGACGATCACATCGGAAAACAAGTGGCTTCAACTGCAAAAAGTTAATAGATTTGAAAGATGTTCAATAGGAAAGATAGTTCAGCTAATGTCTAAGACCGATACTCAAACTAGCCGCCAATTACTTCTCTTGTAGCCTCGTTCCCGTGTTGGCGTAGGAACCCTGAGGAAGCTCATTTTTCACTATCCAATAGAAGTGTGCCCAAACTGCATTTATGTTGACCGTGAATCTTGTTGATTTTGTAGTACTGGTAGAGTGATTAGTGTTATGCTCGACAGCACTCAATACAGCAAAATAGTCCAGTGGGTTGAGATTTGTGGAGGGAGGGAGGAGATGGGAGGGGGAGGCAAACATTGGTTCTGGTTTAGTGACAAAAGTTGGGTGACTAACATTTACCGTTCTCTGAGTTGTGGCAGGGGTTGAAAACTACTGTCGCCATGTTTGGCCCATTATTGGCTAATCTCGTTTGTTACCCAGGCCTTAGTAACAAGAGGACTCACTATTTCTACGTAGGCAGCTGAATTTAGCCTAGACCCCCTTGACAAGATTATAGAGAGTTATCGCTCAAACCTGGGTGGAAGGGTGCTCGCATGCACAGTAGTCTTGGTACCTTGTTGAAATTCAGTCTGAATGACTCGAGAAGTGTCCTTGGGATTGTTGTGCTTTTTGTTTTGCTCGTAGTTTTTGAGGGCGAATTGAACAGCTTCCCTGACCTAAGTGCTTAGAAGATCGTGTCCAAAATGCAGGCGTCTGGACACCTCAATGATCACTATAAAATTTGGGAAAAAAACTTCAGAAGTTTATTTTAAAAGAGTGTTTATTCTTTCAAGAATTTATGAGCTACACTTTTTTAAATAACTGGCAGTCCTGGTGAACAAACCGCTTATAGTGTTTTAAACACATTTATCCATTTATTATATGGTTTTGTATTAGGCATAATCAATGAGAAAGAATATAATTTTTCTCCCTGGAAAGGAGTTGGAATTAAGAAGTTCCATGGGAATTGAGTGGAGTTAATCGAGTCAGTACATCAAGAGTCTAGGTATTTGTTTTTGGCTTTCAAGTCGTGAGGATATACCTCTTCTTGACTGCGGATAAGCCACTTCAAATAAAACTTTTCTCTCTGAAAAATATTCAGGACTCAGATGTCAAGCTTTTGAAATTCGAAGTCAATGCAGAACTAAAAACACAGGAAAACTTTCCACTAATATTGAAACAGTCTTTTCTATTTCTTCGGGGGTAGATATAATATCTCCTGTATTCAAATGGAGTAAGATTCGTTGTTCCTTTGCTTTCCAATGTGCAAAAATAAGGTTTTTTCTTGCTTTCTTACTGTCAAATTCATTTCATTTACTTACCAACGACAAAAAGACCATTAGTGTATTGTATTCATTATCAGAATGAACTGCTAATAATAACCAGATTCAAAGGTGGATGATGCCTTAAAAATAAAAGTTCCTTCGCAGTTACGGAGCTAAAGCCAAGAAATAGGACAAAGGTAATTGGGAGTTAGGTAGAGAAGCTGTCCTCAGGAACCTCTAGAAGGCGTCATAGTGAAAAGATGATTAAAATTACCGCTTAGCATTTCACCCCAATACAATTTATAGCTCATTTTGTTTCATCGCATTTTAATCTTTTCACATATCTGCAGTTATGTTATTAATGAAATAGGCTTAGTTTTCCCTACATCAAAGAGAAGTCGTGTTCTTTTCCTTTGGCTAAGTCATCAGTGTGTAGCTCGGTACGCGCGTACCTAATTTTTAATGCGCAGATGAAATCACGAGTAATGATAGAGGTAAAGTACACTTGTATACTCAAGCACATCTAAGTAGAGGGTATTCACGATGCTTACTGAGGTGTTTAATTCGAATCAGATGCAGTTCCTTAGCGGAATATATATTAATCTATAAGGTCTAACTAAACGACGCCAAATACTCTGGAAAGTGCACTCATGCTACCAATCATGCATTGAGTTCGAGCAAGCGTAGTATCTGCCATCAATTTCAATGCTGAGTGTTGCGGAGTGCACAAGGCTGTCATGGCTGAACAAAGTGCTCTCACGCGTACTCAAAGGTGCGGCCGTGCTACTTGTCGCGTAGGTAGCAAGTGCGTTGAGGACGAAGCCCTCTAAGCCAGCCACCAATTAATAGTACATGCGTTGTTTAACAGACCCGTCATGATGTTTTAATGACTAAGCTTTGTGACGCACATAACCCAAATAAACGTGTTCCACATTGGCAGTCTGTTGCCTCTATATTGTTGTTGTAGAGGTTACTGGTTAAAAGTCTAGACATGTCCCGTGGCAATCTAAAACAGTTTCCTACTCGCATTTGTCCTGAGTTTATCCCTAGCTAAATTGATAAGACCTAATTACACTACATGCCAAGGCGTCCATAATTTGATGAACGCTAATTCCCCTACTAAAAGTGTTATTCATTGTCGAAGTTTTTACTCTTTTAGTTAACAGTTTTAAGTCGGGCTATTACAATGCCGAGTCACTATTTACTAGGATGCACGCCATGATGCTAAGAAGTGTTCCCAATTTTGTGTTGAGTGATTCTTATAACAAAGAAAGTCTAAAGGGACATGACTGTCAATGAAACTAAGGCTAAGGCAGTAGAGCTCAGAGAGAACAAGAATGAGCGACCATTTTGCAACAATAGCCACTTCCATCTCAAGCAGAATAGGATTGTGATTAATTAAATCTTAAGTCCCTACCTTCCCATTGGTTCCTTTGGTCTGCATGACCGGAATTGCCTCCCTAACGGGTTGACAAGGTTGTTAGTTTAGCTGACTGCACATTATTTAATAACGGACATTTATTAATTACCTAATCAACACGGAGAACAGATAGATAATTTTGTGCCGAAGATACTTTCCAATATTTTTTATTCACGTAGGCAAAGTTGCGACGGATGCACATTAAATGCCTACAATAACGGATAGTGCGAAATACGACCTAATAACAGGATAACCATGGGAAAGTGGCATAGATTTCAACACTAGAATTAGCTCAATGGGAACACTGTTAACCTCTTCACTATACAGTTCAAAAAATTATAGGAAGCATCCATATCAGATTCTGCATTGTCGTTGTCAACTGCCTTCAGCTCCTGTATAGAGGTATGACAAGTTGTCGGCCTTAACGCTGATATTTTGGTGAAAAAAATCTGTCTCGAGATAGGAAACTTGGTACCTCTGTATGCATTTAATTCTTATTTATCTAGCAACCAAAGCTAAATAAAAGGCCACGATGTTAATTTCTTAAAAGCTAATTATATATTCACAAACTAAAATGTGCATCAGAAGACAATGTGGAATTAACAATTTGTTAAGAATAAGATTCGCTCCGTTTGGAAGTTCAAAAATACATATATTTAAAATTAAAACCCTGATGAAGTTGACAGGAGAGGTCAATTCCAAGATAATACATTGAATAGCAATGATTATTAAACCATGTTCACATTTTTATGAAGGTTCGTAAATTTAATTTTAATAGCATAAAAACACGTTATTGCAATGCATACAACACAGTACTATTAATTTCCATTTTCGAAGAATAGATATACAGAATTTCTCCTTCTTTCAATTTGTAATTCATTTAAACTTCGCCTAAAAGATCAAGAAAATTAACATGTGAATTGATTGATTGGTGATGGCACTCTCACCTTTAGGACTGCAAAACTGCTAGTTGGAATTAGGTGGTGAGATTATTTGCACCCATAACCAAGTAGCAAGACGGTGTCAGCTTAATTAACGTTCAAATAGCAAAGCTCACTAGAGTTCAATTGAGGTGGTAAAGACTAAATAATGACACACCAGATGAAATCTTTTAGACGTCTGTTAGGACCCAGTAAAGAGTTATCTGAAAATAGTAGCTGTGCAGAAATGAGTTAACTCTGGCGTTCAAGGGAATACTAACACATCTTCTGTTGAGACTAGGAGGATGTTAATTTTGCCTAAACTCAATACACGTAGCACTAAAAGGTATGCATTCCACAACTGTGAGAACATTAGACTATTCGTTCATATTTGACTTTGAAGGCAAAAGTATAATACAGGGTTACAAGAGGGCACAGTCATTCACTGACATGTCTACTTGGTGAGTTTATTTCTCTTTCCACCAGTTCGTCGGCGACCAGGCCTATTAGCCTTGAAACGAGTAGGTTTAAGTCCATGTTCCATCCCCTTTCTCTCCCACGGAGCGGGAACAATTTGCCCATCTGCTCGAAGACCATGAGTGGCAGCCTTGCTGCTTACATCATGTGCAGGAAAGACAACGGTGGCCAAATCGCCAGTGGCCTCAACATTACTGTCTATCAAAAAACCTCCGATGTCATCATCGCTGTCATCATCATTGTAGAGAAGACCGTTCGTGGCCCCCATTGGGAGGACATTTGGATTCTTGGGTTTCGGTGCACGTCTGTCAGGAAGACGCTGATCTGCGCGGTAGATTGGTTCGTCGGCGTGCTTCCCACCCTTTGGTCGCGGCACTGGGTGCTAAAACAGATTAGAATCACTACTAATTTAATATTAGTAAGACGAATATTAAAATATAATTAAAAAAAATAATATCACCATTAGTGTATTAAAAGAACCCATCAAAAAGAAGTTCTGACAAAATAATAGTCCTTGTTAAGTAATAAATCATGAATAATCGATGAATCCATACTAGTAACTTGAATAGATGAGTGACAAGTCATTTGCCCCGACGAAAAATCATCTTACCACCAAGGCCTTGGTAGGCAGGTCTCACAAATGGATAAGTTTGTTTCAGTCTTAAATTGAAGACGCAGTAAGTACAGTTAATTACTTCCCTTCCCCTGCGCATATAAAGCAAGCACTTTCAATATCCCTCGCTACAATTTAGCAATTTATACAGTTAGTAGCTAAGTACTGCACAAAACCCAGCTAAGACTACATGATGGCCTCGATCATCCAAAGCTATTGAAGGAAGTGCACCTTAAGACCTATTTGACGGATTTGTAGATAACGGATTAAGAAAATAATCAGCAAAATGACAGGCCTAGGAAATATTTAATTTTCCATTAGAAATAAATAATTAATTCCAAAACGAGCGCAATAAATAACCTGACTGATTCGTTAGTAGAATAATATATATAAAACAGGATTAGTGTTCGACAACATTTCGCTGTTCTTTGGAATAACTCTAAGACAAATGCCAAAACACTCAAAATTCATAATCAAGCAAAAAATCACCTCACTATATTCCATTGCAACCAACTCATTCCATTATGGGTGTACTTTATCAACTGCTATCGAAGCAATTTTACAAAATTGAGAATAAAAAATACCAAGGAAAATAAAAGCCAACTATGTAATGCTTAATACAACCGAAAATATAAAGCAATCATTCACTCCTTAATAATATGAATGCCGAGCGATACACTACGCATAAATCATACCATTGCTATAACATTTTAATCTTAGTTATTTTTCTCAATCGATGGTCAATAAAACATACAGCATCGCATTTTACTTAACTCGATAAATATCGAACAGTGAGATGTTCTTTGCAAAAACAATATGAACTTCACACTTTGTTACGGGAACATAAATTGAAGACCAATGTTTCAGGAAAAGCAAATGGTAGAAATAATGGAATAGAAATATAGGTCTTAGGACAAACACAATGTCTTCAGACCAAGAAGTACAAGATGACAAATAAAACTTAAGAGAAGTGGAACCTTTCCGAACCGGAATCAAAGAGATCTGATCACCACAACTAATAAATATGCAAAAACTAGCCTATTAGTAGCTTCGTATGTTCTATTACATAAATACAGTGTCAAATGACTTCAATATTGAATATTTGGAGAAACATTTTAACCAACTGACATCGATTTAACATACCTTGGTTCCACGAAGGTTCTTAACAAATTTCCTCGAGAAATGGAACTCCAACTGACCATCTTCGTGTAGGGTGACAGGAATACGTCTCAAGCTTGGATAACCGCACATTCGACAGAAATACGAATCTTGTTTTGTTGTGTGCCTAAAACAATGAAACATTAAATATTAAAGAAATATTGAAAAGGAGAATAAAAATAAGTTTATAAATTATAACTTCAATAAAGAAGGTGTTTCCATAAACTTATCTTGAACAGGATTCTATACTGAGACCCATTGTAAAAATTACACTTTGCCTATCTTTCACCATCAGGAAGAGCCAAAAGGCCACAATGGTAACGGAAGTGCTGCCCACGAGTTACATTACGTAGACACTGAGTGTCGGATCAATTATTCGACTCATGATGAAATATAGCGACTTAAGTATAATTAGCTTTACATGAAGAGTTGGTCTACTAAATTAGTTGCAAATTAAGGTACACAATAAAATGAGAAATATAGAGGACAATTTCTTACGTCAAACCCTCATTTAACACTAAGAAACTAACACTAATGAGAAACTAATTACCAATGTAATGGTAGGCAGCATATCAGATTAGATGGGTCTCAAATAATATAGCCATACAACGCGATCGTAACGTCAACGAGCGTAAAAACCAAAAAAGACTTACGCATAACAGGATCCACACCAAAGTACATGAGTACGAGCTCTTTTAATGATTTTGCCCGACAGGGACAGGAGTGGAATTCCAGCGTTCATCATAACATTCTGCATGGCGAAATCTTTAGTCAAACACGCGACAGGGACAGGGGAGCCATCAGAACAATTTTCAACCTCATCATCCCTACAAATTAAGTGAATTGCTATTATCATTAGCCAAATGCAATTAAAGAGCGATATAGTAAAAAGAACTTACAATCTTAAGCCACCAAAACCTAGACCGACAAGGAGCTTTTCATCAAAATTATCTGCAGTAATCCAATCACTATCATCAACTTCTGATTCATTCTCAGCAGAGCCATCGGAATTACAATCTATTGATTTATTAGCTTCCTCATCGTCTGAGAGTAAATCATCCTCATCAATTGTAATACCAACATCTGAGTTCGAATTCGGTGTGTTCGGGTCTGCTTCTCCCAAATCATTCTTAATTTTCTCCATAATTTCTTTTTCATTAAAGTCATTATCGGGCTTTAGAGGTGTCTTCGATTTTGATTGATTTTCGGGTTCTGGTGGCTTTTTAAATCGAAAGAGTTTATCTGAAAAAGTTGGACGTTTCACGTCCCTAATATCAGGTTCGTTTCCATTTACTTCTTTATATAGCTGATAGGTAACGGCAATGACATCGATATCCGTCTTTGACAAGACATGGTAATCTCCAGTTTTTAGCGAAAGTTCTTTTACTAAATACAACATTAATGAGCAGAAAAAAACATACCCCATTTAATTGATTCCGGCATAGGAATGTCGATTTTTAATGGATAGGGAAGAGAGTTTATGAAGGATCTGGTACGCTTATCTCGAAGTTCATCAAGGACAGATTGTGTGGTGTGTAAATGTTCACCATAAGTCTATACGCATTGAAAAGCTATAAATCACCGAATTACCTCCAGTTTGGCTCGCTCGATAAAAGCGGCTGAATCCACAATTAAGTGAACTGACTTCGTTCCTGTATTAAGAGACATCACGCTGACTAAATAAGGACACGCGCAAACGGCCTTCAATATCTGCCGGCTTAAAATGCAATTTTTATAACAAATCCCTCTTAATAAAAATTCATCAAAAGCTTAATAACAAATTCTAAATAAAAATTAGTGAAAAAGTTAATTTTCATGATTCATATTTATTTTGAATTATTTTTTACTGATTTGAACGTCTTTTTAATCCAATAAATTAAAATGAAAGTTAATTTACTTCAAATGACAAGCGTTTTGATAGTTATCAATAGCTCTTTAGCTGACTTCAGACTTCATAGAGAGGATGGGGAACATCGAAGTGACAAAAATTCAAGAGAGAGACAGAATAGTGATCTACAGATGTAAAAGAGACTGACAGACATAAAGCCACAGAAAATTTAAGATGAGTACTGTGAAATTAGTCGAATATGACGTGCAGTTGGGTAATGATAGTTTGAAGTCAGAAGCTTACTGCCTGGTAATAGGCCTTTTGCCTTAGGAGTATATATTGCCCAGGGTCCACAACGTGGAGGTAAGTCTATTCCACATCCCGTTAAAAGGAAAGTATTTTTATAATTTTTCAATCATATACCTATTCAGTTAAAAGTTTTTAGTACATTGCTTGTAACTGAATTTGTATAATATGAGAATGTTGAGTAGGTATGATATAATAAATTGCATGTAAATATAAATTCGCATCATAAAGGTGGCATTATGAGAAAAAGAAACAGGCCAAAAACTAATATTGTGCTATGGAAAAAAGAGTGCATGAAATAGATTACCTAAAGCAGGTTATAACGGAAAAGAGTGAAAAAAGCTAAGAAGGCAAATTTAAGGTGTGAAGAGAACGTGAATTACAATCGTTCCTGTTTAAATAGAGGAGAGTGAAAATTGATAATTACATACAACGGTGCCAAAGTGACCAGGGAAAAATTAACAAAATATGTTATTATTATTTAGAACCTATTTAAATTTATTCATAGATTAAAAATTTGGTGGAATCTAAATTAGAATTTTATTGTTTTCAATCAATATCTAATAAATTTTAATAGGACTGCAAGGAAGTGATAGGCCAAGTGCATCATTCGTGCAAAAATAAACTATAAAGCACCTCATTTTTAGCAATAAACATAACAGAATTTGTATCTTCCAGAAGTTCGGATAATCCTGACAAGTAATCATCGAAATTGGCGTTAAACACTTTACTAGAGGTCAATAAATAATAGTAAATCATTAGCGCCTTTATTCATATATAGAGGCACTCGAACGCTAATGCTTTGAAAGCATTAAACTACATTTCGCTATCGATGCATTTATTAAAAAAGAGCGAGATGTTGAACGTTGGTTAGTTTGATTTTCAAACTGAAATTAAGAATTGTTTCTATGTACTAACTTTGCATTCTCGATAATTGACTAAAATCTCTCTGCGTAATTAATGACCAAAATATAGAGGAAAAAGTAAAGTATTGAATAAATAACATTTTGATTTCTCAAACCATTAAATTATCAGGTAAATAATACAAAATATCCTTGAAAATGCCATATTCAAATGGAAACACTATATATCAGTGTAACTCAATGTAAAAGTGGGAAAAATTTTAATTCATTGAAGGGTAAAGTAAAATGATTGAAAAGTAATGAAAAAAACCATCTTTTCAATATTATAATCAACGTAAGTTGTTTTTTTAAACTTATGCTTCGAGAAAAATATGAGACGTATAGAAATTAAACACTGATTCATGTAATAATTATAATGCCTGGGCCGAAAGATGCTGAAATTTTGACATGGACAAATTAAAAATGTCGAGTATCTTCCTTAGAAACGCTAAAAATAACACTCAGTATTGTCGAACTTATTTTATAAAAAGTTGTCATACTTTGCTTGACCACTGACATCTATTTGTGTGCTTTATGGATTATAAAAGCTAGAAGATCTTTCATATATTTTTTGGAAATTATATGAATCTGACAATTATCAATTATCAATTAATCGGTAAATGGAAAAATTTTAATTTCTAAATGACCTTATGTCAAACGCGATTCAACAGTATCCATAACTCAAAATTTCCTCTATAACTATTTTTAGGAAATGGGGTGTGGGATAGACTTACCTCCTCGCGGTGCACCCTGGGCAACGTATAATCATACGGCAAAAAATCTATTAACCGGCAGTTGACTTCTCACTTCAAACAACCATCACCCCCACTGTATGTCATATTCGACCCCTACCACAGTACTCATCGTACCCTTTCTGAGCCTTTGTGTTTGTCTGTTTTTTACATCTGTGAATCACTCTTCTATTCCCCCTCCTTTGATGTACCTCCTCCCCTCTGTGAAGCCTGAAGTCAACTAAAGGGCTAATGGTAACTATCAAAACGCCTGCAATTTGTTATAAATGAATTTT